AAGATATCCATTGGTAAAATTAAACTAGGGAAACGTTCGGTAACAAAATACAAAATTAAATGGGAACGTGGTTATAACTGGCTGCGCGAGATAAAGTCAAACGAGTAGTAAGCATGTTGTCCACTGTGCAAGAAAGATTGGAGCAGAGTAACAGAAATTACGTTGATGTCGCGAGCTGCAGCATATAACAAATGAAAGCGTAAATTAAATATTCACAACAATTATAAAATATGTTAAATGTGTTGTTCTTTTCTCTTGTTTCCCAGTGATATAGATGTTACGAACATAAATGCAATTTTTAATAGGAGCCCCTGATTCGGTTCGCTGCGGATAGACTTTCCTGGCGTACTTTATTATCTACACAGATTTATTTATTTCGATGGATTCATTAGCACAGGAAGAAACAAACTATTTTGCCAACGTTCCATTTGTACGTAACATAGCAAAGTAAAGTACATTAATAAAATAATGCTTATGAAACATTTCTGAACCGTAGAATTTATGGTTACCCAACAACTTCACTTTTACAAGAAATCAAATTGAAAATTTGGATATTGTAAAAGGTATGGAGGAAAAAATAATCGTCTGAATGTAGGTATTCAATATAATTAATTAAATTTAAAAATAGTTGATTTCGCAAAAGCTGTCAAAGTCAATACCGTTGTGGTAAAGAGTTATAATAATTGCATTGGTAATGTATAGTCCTTTGTAGAAGAAAATAATTTTGGTAATATCCTCAAAGACCCTAGAATTGAAACAGTGGAGAGCACCATTTTGTCCAATAATTTAATCAATTGCCATTACAACAAACAGCTTTTAGTAATGAATTCTCAATGGTCGGATAAAATTACAAAGAAGTTTTAGTATAACTGTGCATTAAACTCTTTGTAAATTCATTTTACATATTCATTATTTCGCCTCAACGACAGATTTATAAACAAATTTGATATTGAAAACTTTCTCAGATCCCACCATCAACATTGAAGATATTCATGGACGTCCACAAGGAAAATTAGTTTCATTTAACAGTGAATTCACAAAAATTCCATCATTCAAATTCCATCAAATTTGCACGAAAAACATGTGTGCTCCAAGGCCACATTATCCAGAAATAATATTTAATTAATCTATTAAATTATATATTCAACGTAATTTTTTAAATTAAATTACAAATTCTTTCAACAAATTGAAGGCATGGAAAAGATTCCAATCTTTTTTTACAGAAATCTTTATAAATAATTTTGATGAGAATCTGTTCAATTCTTAGAATCCTTTTCTTAAACCATTACAAATTACTATTCGTATGAAAATATCTTCAGCATATGGATAAGCACCTACAGACAGTAAGTTCATCTCCTGGATTCAATACATTCAATCATAATTTATACGCACGTTTGATTAATTTCTTTGTGTATACCTAAATAATATTTTTTCCCCACATACCTTCTAAATCAGGGGTGTCCAACTTTGAAGGCTTCAAGGGCCACAACTAAAACCGCTAATATGCTGCGGCCCATACAACCATTGGTCTGGCGATACACGCGCGACCCAAATTATTGATCTCGGCTGCACTGAAACTGGGGATGCGATGGAACCATGCATGATATCAGGGCACAACATGCATAATGCAGTTAAACACAATGGGATGGTTTGAATTTCTCAATTTTTGACTAGTAATATCTGAAGGGTCACAATAAATGGCCCCGCGGACTACATGCGGCCCGAGGACCTTCAGTAGGACCACTCTGTACAAAATCATACATCAGCACAATATTTGCACCGAAACTATGAAAATGCTTGACACTTTAATATGAGCGCATTTAACGGCGCCACTCGTCGTAGTAATAATATTCTACAGATGTCAGTATCCACAGCACACTGCAAACTTTTCACATACAATACAAACACATTATTTTATAACGCATTCATAGTTAGATGTCATTAAACGATTAAATTCGATACCCAAGTTTAAGAGCCAAGTAAATCTTTTCTGGTGCATATCTGTTTCTATACTATTACAGACTAATACGCATCAAAATAGAAAGTAATATTCATATTAACAATGATATTTAATGTATAAATTATCATTTGGATTGTATAATTCTAAAGAACATATAATAAGTTTTGTACCTGAACTTCTGGATCAATAACCCCATCTCGGTCAGATTTTTAGTCCTGTTTCCCTGATCTGTTGAACGAATGCTAAGATGACCTCTTCCTTCGCTTCATGACATAAATGTAACTGCGCAGTCTGTGCATGTCCCCTACATTTCTCTAGGAATTTGGTCTTTACGAAAATCTCGATGAGGGATAATAAAATAATCTCAGTCAGTAGTTTACTTACCTTTGCAAATAGTTTTTATTAATTATGAGCTAATTGTTTCATCAATTATTGCCAAAAATACTCATATCCATCTGTATTCAGAATTCAACTCGTTTATGGGTTAGAGTAGGGATTCCAGAATTTAAAAAACGTGCACAGAACACACTTCTCCCCATAGCACGTCACAGTTTTAACTGTTTTTGACTTTTAATGAATGAATAAATAAATAACTAAATTAGTGAATAAATAAATAAGTTAATAAGCAGATAAATATATAAATAAATATATTTCACGGATTGTCATATAGGTTATATGTCACCAGATTGATGGCATTATTGTTTGTTGCATTTTGATGAAATTTGAAGGTAAAGTAAACAGATTGTAGGTTTCATAAAATCCAAGACAACCCCGATGTACTAATTACTGTATAAAACCGTCCATTATGAACCAAACATTAAAATTAATTTTTTACTAAATGTTCAGAACTTGGTATTTTACGTTGACATTTCTTTTGAAATGTAAGCTTAGATATGGAACGCTAAGCTAGGAAGAGAAACTTTCGGCGTTCAGTATTTTGAGATAATTTTTCAGCTGATTTATTATGTAATTAACATAAAATACAAGTCCTGTACTCAACGAATTATATATATGTATATATGTATGTATATATATATATATATATATATATATATATATATATATATATATATATGACACATACTGATTCTTTATTATTTGTTGCATACATTTTTAAGTGAGACTGTCATGTGTATTCAATTTTAATATATTATTTCATTAACTTACATACACTGGAGAACTCTTCGAATATTTCCTTTCACACATGAACATCATACGCTCCACATTCCATGAAGTAAATGAATGGATAATGAATAAATTCTTTGAACTTGAAAAATCTTCACAGTAAGATATTTTAACACTGATTTCAAAGTTCATACATCAGGTCATAGGGATATGAAGACATTAACAGATGTGTATAACAAATTGTCCTTTCTCTTTGAACGAGATACCATTTTATTAATTTAATAGTATTTCCAATAAATGCACGTGAAACGTAATTCTATTTGTAACTGAAAGTTTCTCAAATATTGTGTGAGTTCTTGCGATATTTATCCATAACTAGTTTAAATGGGGAGATTTTTTCGTACGAATGCTGAAGTGTGAAATAAGCACCAACTAATATTGTTTATTCCATGAAATATATTTCCAATATTATGACATTCTGAAAAAAATATATAAATTCGTATACAATAGTACTTAATAATTATATTTCATAGTACATGCATATGATATTACTAATGGAATTATCCGTTAAAACGTGATATGTCACGAACATATGGAATAAAACTGTATTAATTTTTATGATTCAATACATTAAATATAATGTATTAGTCATGACCATAATTAAAATGCATTTTATTAATTTCAAAAAGATTACAAAGCAGCCTACAAGTCATACTCTCCATTTACCAGTCATGGGAAATGGAACTGGGGCGAAACATTTTGACAACGAAGCGATTTTGCTGTTCGATATTTCGTGCCCTGAATGTTATGAACGAAATCAGGTTTTTGTAATTTTGAAGTGTGATATAACTTTCTAAAAATTTTCTCGGAGCATATTTTATACTGTTAATGGTGAAGCTGATTTAGAATGTTCAATTCAGATTCATATACTTTACAACTACGTAATTACAAACACTTCATTCATTTCGTTTATATGTTGCACTTCAATTGGACATTATCACAATAATCAGAAACATGGACACATTTATTAGCATTGTGAATAGTGCCATTACTTGTAATCTAATTTTGACGTCTATTATTTAGTTCAAAATTAATAAATATGGAATTATTTAAACAATGAACATTGAAGACTTGTGTCTTAAATTATTTCAGGAGTCATTATATTTTACTTTTGCGATATCTCAGAAGTTGAATGCGGATTTGTAAACTAACAATCCGTTACTTCTTTTACTGCATTTCTAAATACTAATTCTGGTGTAGTATTGTATTTAAAATGTGATAATAAAAGTAATGTTTACTTGAAAATAAAGTATAATTAGGATTATTACTTTTTTTATTAATGGTGTCTCGTAATACGCTCATATTTTTTATGAATTGTTATTACTGAGCGAACTGAAACAAGCCAAGTTCAATAATTTTTTTTTACTTCTTATTTAAAATATTTTTATTTTACACCTTATTTCTTGTAAATGTGACCTTTTTGCATCTCAACATGTGGTTATGCACTTTGTTTCTGATGCGTCCTTATGATTCCGACACGTTCGTGAAAGATTTGTTACATATCTGCACACTGTCAATTATGTCATTATCTTTTAAAAGAGAAAAAATTAACTTTCATGAAATAATATCTCTAATTTAAATTATTTAACGAAATTTCTGTACCAATTATCATAAAAAGTAATCGTTACTACTTACTAATTTAGAATATCGTTGCGTTGATTAAGGCCGTCACTAATTCATTTCTGCTTACCTTTCTAAACTATTTTAGAAGTTCCTTTCTAGGTCTGCACTGAAGCAACTTCTTTTGCCACATACTCTTTACTTAGAACACATGTTTAAAAAATTTGAAGTTAAAAAAGGCAAGGATTGATTGCGTTAGATTTGAAACTTAGGGTTAGTGTTTCATATCAGCACTTTAATTTAATATATCATTTTCTATTAATTCATTTAAGGCTTCTTCCAATCTGTTTCTGTAAATTTCATCTTCTTCAAAACACTTACGTACATCAGATGATCGATCAATGAGGAAAAATACACTATAGTAGTCTGGCGAAGAAAACAGAGCTTTCTTTGTTTCACTGTCCATCACAATCAATTGGTAATACAACGCAGCAATCACTCTCGCAGGTGGACCAAAGTATTTTAAAGAATTGTGCAGCTCTTCAAGACTGAGAATATCGTCTGGCGATAGTCCATGGTTCAGCAACTCTGAAGAAAACGTTTCGTAGTAGACATTCACAATCTCTTGGTGATATCGTTCTCTAAACGATTTACTATTAGTCGTGTTGATGAAGATTAAGATATCCATTGCAGGAGGCACGTACAGAATATTTTGATAGTCCACAAAATAAACAGTTTCTGGATTGGTATCTTTATTTTGACAAAAAAGAATGTTACTAGACCACAAATCTCCATGACAAACCACATTTCTGAATTTGTCAGAGGTTCTGTACTTTGCGATGGATTCAAAAGCACCTGGCATTTTCTCCTGTATCATTTGCTGAAGGTTTCGGTTGTGCTTGTACTTGGGAAGGTAAGGCACAAGGGCTACCGACGCACGCACGCCAGCTTTAAACCATCCTTTGTTTTCGTCGTCAGGCATTGATTTATCGAGCACTGGTGCGAAGAACTGCGGATGCAAGTCCCCGATGCTGCACTTCTTCCCTGTTAACATTTGCTCTTTCTCCTCGAAGATAATGGACGCTGCGTGGAAGATCGCCATCTTCTTGAGAACTGCGGCGCACTTGTTCCAATCCAAGAGTTCACGACTACTAATTGATTCGAAACCGAATTCACTGAGATCTTCCATAACGACGATATCGTCTCTTGTAAAGAAACATCGTGGAGCCCATCGACCGTCTCTTGTGTCACGTGCACTGTCTAACTTTTCGAGATGTTTCAGAAGAAGAGGAAGAATCTTGCGGTAGAATCCTACCTCCTTCACATAACATTGCACTTCTAACACGAACTGTCTATGTTCTCCTGCATTGCGTGGCACGGTTTTTGCGAAGAACTTGTAAGATTTTTCTGTGCCATCTTCAAGACGTACACGTATCTTCATACGCCAGTAATCACTCATGAAACCACCATTGACACTGCTTACTGAAGATTCATGTACCTCGAGTACTTCAAAGTCTGTTGTTCCGGCACAATCCGTTACAATGAATCGAACTTCATCCAGCGATAATAAAGGAAATATATCAGACATAATTTGTTTTTGCTACTCTCACGAATGTTCTAGAGATTGAATTGGTGTAAAGCAGATGTGAGAAAATTAAAGTTTCGCTTCAAGTAAAATAACAGAAAATGAAGAGCTTTAAAGCAGTTGAGCGTTGTGATACACGCGTGGAACTGGTTACTAAGCTTAGAAGAGAGTGTCTGAAGAGTAAATGGAGACGTCACTCTCAGCAATTTCAATGGTCATATTAGGTTCTTCCTCCCCTTAAGCCGCCAATTTGCTTCTGGTGGCAACAGGCGGTCAAGGACTATTGTTCGCACTGGCTGGTCTGATCTGTTATGTAACTTATAGATCGAAGTACAACAGACGACTTATGAATAGAGAGTAATACTCTTTACCATGGATTCTCCAAAAATAGCTTGTTGTTTATCCATTAGTATTTGTCAATGTTCTACCTTAAAACGAAACATGTTTTGAGCTGATTAATTTAATGAAATTACATTGTCAGTTTGATAATGAATCAAAGATAAGTATTTAATATTCTTGAAAGAGTACATATAGACAATTTGTAAATTAAATATAATAATAATAATAATAATAATAAAATAATATAGTAAACAAAATATCTGCACAGTCGATTGTAACGGAACACCTTGAGTCTTTTTAGTATTAAGAAGTACATGAAGTAGAAGAACAACTTGAATACGAACGTAATTGAAATTAAATTCTCCTCCTTATGTGCTGAAATAACAATTTGTGATTTTAATTTTGTGAAACAATTTTGTGAGTCTGTATCGCATGCTTGTAAGTTTGTTATCGCACATTTATTATCTTAATTTTTGTTTCTGAGACACAATCAATTCAATCACCAGGTAAAGACATCAAGTTTATTACCCAGACATCACCCATTAAAAAATCCCTAAAAGTTGGAATGTCCTATTCACATTATTATTGTTATCTATAAGTAAAATACATAATAAAAGTACACATACTAATAGGATTTCAAAAATGTGTTATGAAAGTATGCATATGAAAAGTAATTTTTGTACATATTATCCAATATATATCGTATCGAAAATAAACTTTTCTGGCCAGTATTGAAAATTCTTTGCAGGTATGCAGATTTAGTACAATAGTTGAGCTTACTTGCCACTATGTCATTATTTATTGTCAGGTTTCTTTTGTTAGATATATTGCATTAACCAAAATCAACTGCAAGGAGATACTATGTTACGTATTGTATCACAAAATGTTATTTAAAAGAATGTAAAGAAGAACTTTATGAAGCAGAATATTGTTATAGTAGCAACTTTTTAAATAAAAACCTAATTATGATCATTTGCGTTAGTGTTTTCACGTTTAGAACGGTTGCAATACATATGAAATAATAACAGTTTATTTCGCTGCGTATGAATGGCAAAAGTAAGTCATAAGGCCCACCTACGTGTAGCAGCTTTTTCGCAATAATAGTATGCTTAGTTTAATTAAATTTCAACTAATTTAATGAAAGTACATTTTCATTTTGATAATGAATCAAAGATAAGCATTCAATATTGTTGAAAGAGTACATATAGACAACTATTTGTAAATTAATAATAATAATAATAATAATAATAATAATAATAATAATAATAATAATAATATTAGTAATAACTGTGAAAACGAAACCTGTGAAATTATGGAGGCAAAATAGGCATTTAAAACGTAAAATAGGCATGTTAAAGTGTAAAATAGACATTTAAAAAGACACTATTCATTTTCTTATCCTTATTTACGTACTTGTACAGAAAATTTCTGAAGTAAAAGTAATATAGTTACCTTCATGAAATGTTTGCTTTCATGATTGTTCTGGCAAATCCTTGTAAAAATCCTTTATTTTAATGTTGATTCGAAGAAAAAGACTGAATCGCAGGCTGTTTGGCTGTTCATGAAATGCATCAAAATACTCTAACGCCGCACAGTATAATGTTCTTTCTCGCATTTAATTTTTGAATTAATTGAAAATATTGTATGATTTTTTAAGAACCATGCCGAACACAAATGTTGTAATTGTCACAATAGCACCTACTTTTCTCAAATTATACCTGAAAAATATTTCAAAATTTTCAATTTTCAAAAAGTTCAGAGTTCAACGAAAATGAGACCTGCGTTTTTCTTTTATGCTTCCCTTGTTCTATTCATGGGGGGAAAATTGAAGCAAAAATTTGTAGTATGTTTTAAGAACTTTTTAAATCATTTGCATTAATTTCAAGCAGACATTCAACAAAAAACACTCGATTTTGAAACAAATACACATGGCATATTTTAAAGATAACATTTTTTAGAACACATTCAAATTTTTGAATTCAATATTGTACTTTTGTAATGTTAATATTTTGCAATTTTAGAAAATAGTGTTCGCAAAGAATGGAACCGGCACCGATTCTTACATCGTCTATGTATGTCTTTATATATTCGAGGAAAAAAATTAATAAAAATTCGTCTTTTTAAATGAAAATTGTTTAAAAATTCGAAGTAAAAAATAATTTGACTACACCAGGAATTTTGTACGTGTTTCATAAAATGAAATACCCGCACTGTAGTGGTAGTAATTGATTGATTGATTGATAGTTGTTCGATTTTTCTGTGCTCTGCAGGATAAAAACGAAAAAAGTTCATTTTGAAACTTTTTTGATCACCAAATACGATTTTAGGGAGCATTTAGGCTTTTAAACATGAAATAGGCTTTTATTAATAAAATAGGCACCACAAAAGACTAATAGAATACTCCTGATACCTGAAAATGAATAAGTAACCTTAAATAATGCGTTTTCCGTTGCAGGAAAGAAAAGGAAAGTAGGCAAAACAGTTCGCTCCCAGACACCGTACAGGGAACACCTACGTTTGTGCCTCCTCTTGTCGTGTTCACGAGTGCAGTGTTATCAGTTGTGTATTAGTGTTTTTGTCACACCAAATAGGAATCAATACTTATCTAATCTAACATCTATTTAAAGTCAGCCTAACACGGCTGACAATTAATCATAATGTTGTTCTTCAATGTAAACAACAACTTAACCAAACTTCCAGTGGACCCAGCTCCTGAAAATCAAGCCAACGCTACTGTGAGTGATGTATTTCCTACCAAAGACCAAGGAGTTATCATAGAAGCCCACGAAGGTATTTCAATACAATAATATATTACTAACTCGCTACAATAATGAACCCCAATGACATTAGATTCGTGTCGCACATATCTAATATCAGAGTTTGTGTATTTCTAAACACTAAGAAAACAGCAGAGTACCTAACTAGCAACTACCCTACGTTAACCATCAAGGATCATAAACTGAATGTCAGACCTTTAATTAATAAGATTAAAAGGGTAATAATTTCTAATGTTTGCCCTGTGATACCATATGATGCTATCTAACAAGAATTTTCAAAACATAATATCGATATAAAGTTCAATATCTCATTTATTATAGCTGTTATTCCTGAACCAGGATTTAAACGTTTTATGAGTTTCAGGAGGCAGGTGTTTATAACACTTGAAGATGTTAGCAACCTCACTATATTGTATGATGGTACTTAATATAGAATTTTCTTTTCTACAGATGACATGACATGCTTCTTATGTAACTAGTCTGGTTATGTAGCGAACCAGTGTAATAACAAATCTATCCAACATTCTGCAACAGAATATGACTTAGAAAATGGAAAATCTCAAAATGAATCTACTAATAATTCCATTGAATTTACTGAACCACAGAGCCAAAAGGAAAACCTTGCAGTAAATGGAGTAATTTTCCCCTCTATTCCTAAGAGAACCCTTTCATTTGAATCTTCATCCCAAATCGGTTCTGAAAGTAATAAGATAGATAAGACCAATTTGTATAGTAGTAAGCAAATTAAAAAGAAAAAGAAAATTAGTAAAGAATCAAATCACATTAGCATTCATGTTAAGAACACCCCCCAAGTCAATAGATGAACTTCTTGATCCATTAAAGGCAAAGTATGAAACCAATCCAATTGATTAACCCTCAGATATAACCAATTGAAAAATTTAATTGACAAAGCTTCAGGAGCCCCAAACCCAACAATAATATCCAGTGAATTTTCACTTGATATTTCCATCTACTATCCAAATAATGTCTAAATATTATCCATTACTTACAGAAAAGTCAATACAATATAAATTTACAAGTATTATCAACACGTTGAATAGTGCACAAGAACAAATGGATGATTTAGATGCAGATACATCTGAATAATAACTAGAAATGAATATCTTACAATGGAATTGTAATGGATTCTATGCCCGTCTACCTTCCCTGAAACTATTAGTTAAATATATTCTTCCTCAGATACTATGTTTACAGGAAACAAACTTTAAATTCATTCATGTAAACAACCCGGATATACTACACCTTTTTGAAATAGGAATAATGCTCAAATTGCTTCTGGTGGTGTAGCTATTCTTGTTAAAAATGATATTTATGTGCATGATATTCCTCTCCAAACTTTTCTTGAAGCCGTAACTGTAAAGGTTAAAATCATTTCCCATATCAATGTCTGTAATATTTATATTCCCAATAGGCAGGACTTTGATGTCCATCAACTTGACTATATTGTACTTCAGTTACCCAAACTCTTTATAATTGTAGGAGACTTCAATAGTCACAATAAATTATGGGGATCTAATATTACAGACAAAAGAGGTAAAATCATTGAAAATTGGTTAGACAATCGTAATAATCTTACCATATTAAATACAGGTCTGGCCACCCACTTTAACTGTAGTAATGGAAATGAATGCAACATTGATCTTAGTTTTGCCTCCAATGATATTGCAGATAGAATTACATGGTCTACCAACAACTACCTTTATGATAGTGACCACTATCCCATTAACATGACTTAGTTCTATCCTCCAGACGTAGATCTATTCTCCAATCTGAAATGTGAGCCTAAATGGATTGTAGAACAAGCTAAATGGGAACAATTCCAACAATTTATCATGTCCAATATTGCAACTCTTTATCAACTAATCA